AAAGGACCAAGTTGGAAATTTAAGAAACCCGATCTCAGTCTCCCAGACTGGAAAATGAAGAAACCTGGGTTCAAGGGACGTGATATTGATGGTCCATCTGTTGAAGGGGATATTGATGGACCTGATGTGAATGTAAAGAAACCTGGATTTGATGGACTTGACTTTGATGGACCATCAATGAGCGGTGACATCGATGGACCGGACATGAAAGTGAAAGGACCAAATTTCGATGGGCCTGACTTTGACGGGCCATATTTCGAAGGGGATATAGATGGACCGGAAGGTAAAGATAAAGCATATGGCCCAAGGGGACCCAGCTGGAAATTTAAAAAGCCTGATCTGAGTTTACCAGATTGGAAATCGAAGAAACCAGGCTTCAAAGGACCAGATCTTGATGGACCCTCTTTCAAGGGAGATATTGACGGGCCAGATGTTAACGTTGGTAAACTTGACCTCGATAGACCAGATGTCGATTTAACTTTATTCAAGGTCTCAGATATAGATGGTCCGATGTTTGGTGGTGATGCTAGTGTGGGGACCCCTAATGTAAAAGGGCCATCATTTGGTGGCAGATTAGCGAGACCAGACGTAGATATCAAAACACCTGACTTCAGTACACCGAAAAGTAACATCGATGTTGATTTACCAGATTTCGATTCAAGCGGGCCTTCAGTTGATGGGTCTGTTGATGTAAAAGGTCCAACCTTTGGATTGCCAAAAGGAAGGTTTGAAATGCCTGATGCCGGAAACGAGATTATCGAGGAGATGAATACCGATATTGTAGAAGCTTCTATTGGAGCAGATGGCGATGGTGGAGACTTGGTATTGTCCGAAGACGACAATGGCAATTTAATATTTTCAAAACCAAAAGTAAAATCTCCATCCGCAAATGTCGTTGTACCAGACATTGACGTTGGTGGAAGGAGAAAGAAATATAAAGAAAGCAGTTCATCCTCGTCAAGCGAAGACGAGGACAAACCTGAATCAAAGAAAAGGGAAGCAAAACCTCGTACAAAGAAGAAAGGCAAGAGCACGTCCTCTTCCTCGTCTAGTTCTTCTGAAGACGAGACCGAAGGCAAGTCTCGAGGAGGGAGATTTGGAATCAAGCTCCCTGGATGGAAGAAGAAAAGTAGGAGATCAAGTTCGTCATCATCTTCATCTGATGACGAGGATTCCTCTTCAAAAAAGAAGGATCCCGTAAAACGAAAGGATACGTCGTCGTCGTCTCCGTCTGATTCTGACTCCGATTCGCCAAAATCGTACGATCTAACCTCTGTAGTGAGGGGCAAACCCAAACCAGAAATAGAGAGAATAGAAATAGCTCACACTGCTGAACTAGAATCACAACCAGATTTTCCCTCGTTTGATTCAGAACCTAGCTTAGCGAGTCCCACATCGCCGGTACTGAAGTTAGAGTCTTCACGCGCCCTTCCCAATGTTTCTGATGGATCTGTAAGCGTGAAGCGTATTCCAGACAGTGATGGAAGTTTCTCCTTTGACAAACGGAAGGATCCTACTTCACCCACATATCGAGAACCCCACTCACCCAACCGGGGTGACTCTAAGCTATGGGACATCGTGCAAGGTTACATCGATACCGATGATGTTATAAACGATGATGGCACGCCACGGAAAGCTAACGAAGAACCTGCTATTCCAACCTACACACCATCCCTTGAAAGAACACCGAAAATCAGCAGAGAAGAAAGAAAGGAAAAAACAAAATCGCTTCCTCCAAGAGTTTCACCAAGACATTTGTCGTCGTTTGAAATAGATGACAGCATTGATGATCCATGGGCAAGGCATTATCTGGGAGATCGAAGAGGTACTGGGCCGAGTGTAAGCAAATCAAGTAGTAGATCAAACAGTAGACCAGGTAGTGGAGATAGACAAAGTGTGAGTCCATCAATGGTATTTTCAAAGGTTCCACATGTTAAAAGCCCCTTTGGAGAACCAGAGCGAGATCCAATTACGGGACTACGTATTTCTCCACGCGGGAATCCCGAGGATAGGCGCAGATCGCTGAAAGAACTTGAAGGGGCACCAGCAAGGCGTTTACATGAAGACATGTTCCAACTGTCTAAAGAAAAACCTAAATCTGATGAAGTGGAAAGGCAGAGGGAAAGCAGGAAGTATCTATGGGACATGGGTCCTAGTGATCAGTCACGTGGTCTGGTGGGATCAAAAGTAAGGTCTCGTTCGTCTCCCCCAACAACCAACAGAGGAGCAATGGAACCTGTCAAGGTAGACATCTCAACCGACTCCAAGTTTGAAGTACGACCCATTACATCGCGACGGACCTACGAAATCTCGAAGTCACAGCCTTCGCTGAGTGTAAAAACAGAAGAAAAGACCAGCAAGACTTATAAACAACTGATGGATCAACAACAGCGGGAACTGAAAAAGAGGGAAGGTTTCATTAAGACGGAAGAACCAAAGAGATTGACATTAAGAGAAACAAAAGCAAAGTTTGAGATGTCGGTAAGGATTTTTCAAGATTTTGTTTAAACAAACTATTTTATTGGTGGTTTGGAACGATTCCCAAGAGTCAATCATTATACGAGATACACCACAAATATGGCGGCCATGTTGGTAGTATTGACAAAAGAAGCTAGTCAGTGAGCAATCTCTTGTTAAAACCACCAATATGGCGGCGATAACGTTTGAGGATTTTCCTTTCTCCAAATCACAGGTAGCCCAAGCGGTTTCTGTGGTGTCATGTTATAAGGAAATGTAAGGGGATTCATCAAAAATTGCAATAAAATCATTGAAACATGAAATAAAGCCTCGAAATTTTACCCGATCATTGAGAAATAGCACTTCTTTCGCTCTGCGTGGCTATTTTTTGAATTTAGCCCGTTATAAGGATTTTTTCCCCCACCAGTAATAGCCACGAAACTGAAACTTTTTCTTTTTTATGATTTAGAATTTCTAATGAAGAAATCAAGATGACTTGTAGAGTTCAAGCTGAAGACTAAATGCTACGAATTTGTTGGTTGTCACCCAATTAACGACGTCATCAGGGAGGCAATGTTCCCTTTCTATGTAACCAGGCCTTCAGGGGCTAACGTTTATGAATTCCTAATGTGCTCAATATTTTATTAAGCTTCCATTGAACATTTATTAAGAAAATATATATGATGATAAAAAAAGTCCTAACAACATTTACATAATCAAGTATTAATCATAGTAATCAGATTTATATTTTCTATATTTTGGCTGCTTTTACCCGAATCACATTGCAGTGGTTCGGTGCTACAATCTTAGACCAGCGTATTTAACATTTATAGAGGCAATATGAATGACTAAATGCATATCAAAATACACTTTACTAACTATTATAAATAATTTCTATAAACACAAGCAAAGATGATGCTAATGGAAGAAAAATTTTGGAAATGTTTTCTTCAAACATCTGCATTGTCTGCAATTATGCAACTATATGTGGCTGAAACTGACATGCAATTACGCTTACCGATTTAAGCATGCACTCTCTTAATGCAAGTAATGATTTTTTTTGGCAGAGCACAATTAGCATAAAACTTTTTTTAAATAAACTTTTGTATTGGAATCATAAATAATAGTAATCATGTGACTCCGTTACGAAAATCAAGATCTTTGCATTATCAAAGAAAATTGAATCAACTTCGAACTTCATAGCCTGAGAAAACAGTCATACTTTCGCGGGGGATGGCTAAGGCTTAAGCTACAACTGAAATTCATTGTTAATATTTATTCCAAACCTAAGCAAGAATCTTATGACAAAATGGATTATGTAAAATAGAGAATTCTGAGATATCTTGCATATTTTTTTCATCGTCTTCTGTTTTTGTATCGTACTCTTAGCAGTTATTGCACTTAGTATATATTTTGAAATAAAGTTTACATATTTGAAAGTTACTCTTTTGGTGTATTTAAAGTCATGGCCACCATTTTAACACCATAGTTTCAAACCTTAACATCCTGCAGACATCCTCTTATATTAGCTTTTTGGTGGGAAAAACCTTTGGAACTGATTCATATCTAATTGCTTTTTGAAAGAGCCAAAGTTTGGAAAAACCTTTGCGTTTATTATATCTAATGGTTTTTCCGCCCTCTTTGGTTGGAAAAGTTTTTAAGTTCATCCAATTTAATCATTTTTGTGGGGACCATCCCACGGTTTCACCGTACAAAGAGAATATTACCCAACACTAGAGCTGTTCTCGTTGGGTTTCCTGTGTTTCTTATTACATAATATCCAAGATGGCGACTCGTTGGGAAGAGAGTCGTTCAAATCCTTGTAAAGATGAATCCAAGGCGTCAATGAAATGTTTAGACGAGAATAACTACCAAAAGAGTAAGTGTCAGGCTTATTTCGATGCATATAAAGAGTGTAAGAAAGCTTGGAATTTGAGAAGAGCCGAACGTAGAAGGAAAGGTCTTCCAATTGATGACCCGGTGTAGCAATAAAGAGCAAAAATTATTATAAACGGCCAACAAAAATTAAATGGAAGATGGCTCAAAGCATTGGAAAATATTTTCCTATTTTTATATACCTCCCAGGAAAGTAATTATGGAACAAACTCAAATTCATCTGACTGCCTTCTGAATGYATTCGGTTCAAGATGGTTGCAAGATGTTTTCAGTGGATATGATCGTAAGATTGTACACCTTATTTGAATTAATCTTAAAACACAGACTGTCATTAATAACACCGACGAAAGCGAACCCTAGCCCTCGTGAAAATCAAGATTTTTTCCTTGGATTTTTCTCAATGTGAAAATTAACTTCAATCATCTTACTAGATAGTAAGTACACGTGCTCTGATTGGTCGAGAACTGGCTATAATAGTGAATGAAGTATGATTGCTCACACCATCTGTGCACGCAGTTAACCTTGCAAATAAGTGTAAAGAAAAAGAATTGAAAACTACAACCATACAGTTGCCTTAAAGATCATGCTTCTCTTCATTCTTCTTGATTTCGTCACCTCCTGCATTCTCTATAGCATGAAAAAGCTGTATTATTTCCTAATTAAACATTGAAGATTTCCATTTTAGAAGAATAACAAATTGAGTGGGTATGATAACTCTTTTTGTAAAATTTCTTTTATCAATTCATAATTCATTGGCCAAGAGAAAAGGAAGGGAAAGAAAAGACGTGAATATACATCCAATTAGAATACAGAAGAGTTGTTATATAAATGATGGTATTCTAGCGTGATATCTTGCCGTCAGGTATTGTGGTGTTTTGGATTTCTTGAGTAAATGTAGTAAATCCCCAGATGTTGTTAATTGTGTAGGATAAAATATTTAACAATGGTTTTGTGTGGTATGTCATGTAACATCCCACTTGTCTCTCGTATAAGCTACCCTGCAACTTTAAGTCAAAATAAACATGGGTGGATTTAAGGGGGGAGGGGGAGAGGAGATGGGGCCCTTTAGACTGAGATCCAGGTTTGAGATGTATTTTTTGTGCAAAATATTCCCAAAATACAGGATTCTTGTAATGCTGAATTGTTTTTATTTTAATTATACTTTATTCACATCACATTCAAGAAGAAAAACAAAAATACTTAGCACATTGCAATCTACAAATTAGGGGGGATTAATTTTCAAATTCACAACTTTCAAAAATACAGGGATTATCATATCAAAAAAATATGTTTAATAGAGGTTTCCATTTTCAAATTTTCCAAATTTTCTAGACGAATGGTTTATAGATAAGCATATTTTTACTGTGTTTAAAATAAATCAAGTTCAATCCTATGTAGTCTGCAATTATGTATATAATACTTAGAGCAAAGAATAATAAAATTAATCAGATCTTTTGATGGTACACAATCAACAACTCCAAACAAAACATTACAAGCATTTATAAAATAACTGTTATGAATGTCACGTTCTGATTGGTTTGGAGCACATGCTTTATGAGAGCACACTTTCCGTTGTGTCATTCCTATCTATTATTGTAATTTGTATTTTATAAAAGAAATAAAAAACTTGCTTGCTGTGCTGTGTGGAGTTATTGAAGCACTTGGGGATTGGCAGAACACTCGAGAAGTGTCAAGAAGCACTCCACTACACGTCATGCTTTTCYTAACACTTCTCTCGTGTTCTGCCAACCCCCGCGTGCTTTATGACAGCACACAACATGCGCGCGTGTTTTCTATTTCTTCATTAGATCAATGTTCAATTTTCTGTTTGATCTCATCCACATCAATCTAATGCTTTTTGTTATGCAAGCCCCCCTTTCTCAGATTAGTGGATCTGAAAGTCTTTGTCTGTATGTTTGTGTATGCTAGAAACTACAAGACTCGTGGGATATTCCATGGTATGCATCTCAAAACCAATGTATAACTATTATGTATTGTGTTCATCAAAGAGTCATAATAGTGACAAAGCTCTCTAGAATCATTTTAATTTGTGCATGAAGATTTTGGGGTCAGCCCCATGCCCCCCTTTTAAGTGATGTATTTTCTTTAAATGCAATCGTATTTGCATACGGTCTTGAAGGTTTTCTCTCAAGATGAAGTTTTCCAGCCCAGCCTGCCTTCCTGCCTGCCCTTTTTTCTGAATCCACCCCTGACTATTAGTCAAGAGCATAAGATCTAATGAGTTATCTTACTTATAATAATAGTTCACACCAAAATTAACCAATTTCGCAAGAGAGTTAAAATATTGAAGTTATTTTTTGTCAACTACCGTAGGATCTTCTTCTTCCTCTGTTTATTGATCGTATATAGAGGTTCTTTTATTTATAGTTATGGCTGGGTCTTGTTGATAAGAGGATCCTCTTCTGATGGCTCAGGACTTGTGTTGCTGTGAATCATATGGCCTCGGCTTATCTCAAGATCAACTTCTGGAGCTCTGTAACATATATAAAACTGGTCAAAACAATGTGACAATTTTGTGAGAAGGTTAATAATAGATGTAGAGTTTTCTTTTTTCTTCTTGACTATAACATGTTTCTGAACTTTATTCCTTCAAGAATTACATGAATTTAAATTTATTTGCCTGTCACCATTAAACAAAGTAATAATCCTCAAGGGAATGAGAAGCAAGGAAAGCACCAAACTCAAACCTGGTTTATCATAACTAGTAAGTATGTATGTCCGTTGGCGATCAGTCATGCACAGTAAGCAAAGTAATAATCCTCAAGGGAATGAGAAGCAAGGAAAGTACCAAACTCAAACCTGGTTTATTATAACTAGTAAGTATGTATGTCTCTTGTTGATCAGTCATGTACAGTAAGCAAAGTAATAATCCTCAAGGGAATGAGAAGTACACTCAAACTGTGTACAATGTTATCTTACCCTGTATTATAAAGGTATAGGGCTGGTATCATGATCACCAGTGCACCAATACTAAAATATGTAGAATTATGAGCTTCTGGATGAAATTTGAATGGCTCTGCTTTGAATAGAGTCCAGAAGAGAAAAGCAAGTGGAGTAACCAAAGCCTGGAAAGAAAATCAGTTATAAAGGAATTAGAATCAAGGGTTAATCAAGACAAGAAAAATAATAGAGTTTTGGGCTACCTGTGGTGTATGCCACAGGCAACCCATTTCAAAAGTAAAGTGGTTGACTTACAGTTACGATAGCTAATAGAGTAGCACCCTCGGAGTATCTCAAGAGTAAGCCGCCACCAAGGTAGGACAACATGTACATCACTACAAACACAGTTCCCCTTACACCTGGTTTGCTGTTGCACCCAGCTGTACCAAAGAAACATCGCAAACCAAACCACCAGCTAAACAATAACGACAAAAACAAGGATAAATAAAAATGTCCAGGAGAAACTGGTGTTAGAACATTTGTGATTGGAAAAGACTGCGAAATGGCTTCCTTATACGAGACTTATGATTGGATGGTCTGTGTTTTCCTGCTTTCTGATTGGTTCAGAATGCAAAAGCCTATTGAATGTCACAGAGACCATAAAACTGTCTTAAAACACACTTACTTTTTGCCGAATTGGGAAATGTTCTTGGCAAATCCATAGCTAGGGATGATATCCACCCAGAAGAGAGCCATTACTGCTAACAGCTGATAAACAGACTCCCAGAAAAGAAAATAGACGATATTCACGCCACGTCTGGACATGACGTTCTGCATCTTGAGGCCTTTTTCTTCCACTACGTTCATCACGGCCGCGGGAACCTACGATATTTTCACAATGAAAACAAAAAGAGAAACTCGAGTCAGTATCATACGTTGAAAGGTTTTTTTTGTCCTTCTCCGAAGTCAATATCTAAATAGATTTTATGACGGTTTTGGCCGCCATTTTGACGAGAGGCAACAGACTAGAAGGCGCAGTTACGAAGTCCCATACGCTCTTCGCAGTGTCTAAATGCCCGGCAGCCGGTCGCGGTGTGACGGCGAAACAGTGTTAAAAACTATCAGTTCTTGCTTTTTCTCTTTATTGTGGGCTTCTAGTCTTTTGCCTACTCGTCAAAATGGCGGCCAAAACCGTCATAAAATCTATTCCGCCGATTCCACCAAGGGAGCACGTTAAAATTTTGATTGTGTTGGTTTATCTTCGATTTTATCGCACGTAATCTAAGATATGACAGGCGTTCCTTGTAGTGCTTGTTTACGTTCGCGCTACACTTTAATGGCAGGCGAATATCTTGCGAGGAGCGGAGTGTCGTGTAAAAAGAGATAGATAGATCAACCAAGAGCAATAACTGTCTTTACACAAACAAAATTTTAATGTGCTCCCTCGATTCCACTATGGAACGAGGTCTACAGATTTGTTAGCCACTGGCTATTAAGTACTACCTTCGTAAAACCAGGACAATTAAAGAAAGAATATTTGAAACCAAACGTTGCTTATCATTGGTGAGCGTAGTCAAATTTGGCGATACTCACAAATCCAATCATGAAACAAAGGGCCCACAAAGCTCCCTTCGCGCCACTTGCTCCTTCTCCTGATTCCTGGGGTTTCTTTGGTTCAAGATGCTTAGGAAAAATCGATGGCAGCAAGCAGATGAACAGAGACAACAATACAGCCATCCCACAGATGAACTTTCGTAATGTAGGTCGCTTCCTGAGAATGATTACTCTAAAATGACACGCAAAAAGAAGTATTTAATACACACCTAATTGCAAGAATCACTATCTCTAGCCTGAAGATGATGCATGGGAGGGTGAAACATCGTAATCTTGCGAAGTGGCGATATGTTTTACGAATAATTTCAGTCAATTCTAAATGGATTTATTATTTTTCTAAAATGAAATAAGTTGTTACATGTAACGACTGGTCTCAAGTAAAAAGCGTCAGTTTGGTCAGTTTTCTGTACCTACCTTATAAGGATTATCAGAGGGATCATAAAGTTACCCAAGATAGCCTGTAGATATGGAGCCGTCCTGTTTGGTGGACTTGCAAAGACAACCAGTGCACCATTCAAAGCGTCACACACACCAACTGCAATCAAAAGCCTGTGTGGAAAGATTATTTCCGTTTGTCCAAGCATTTGTGGGAGAAACGCTCTTATCACAACCATCATCACTCCAAAAGCAACAACGAAAAATAAGCTAGCGAAAGATAAGACGAAGTATGCGTCCATTTTTCCCTCCGAARAGCTTGTTGAGTTTGCGTGTACTCTTTCGCTTTCTGCTGCAGCCAGCCACAGAGGAAGGCTTACACTTTGTCCAACCTGTCCGGCAACTGCAATGAAAGCGAAGACAATATTGGCCCAGAAAATATGGACTCTCCAAGCACCCAAGACTTTGATTTCTTTCCGATCTGCATGAGCTATTGGGACTTCGCACTCATCGTGAAGGCTGCCATTGTCCATCTTTATACCAGTAGTATGTTGACGATGTCCCGCAAGTGAGATATGAGAGTGTGATGCAAAAATAACTGAAAGTTTCTTGGAAACTGAAGGTATCGTCACGCAATATAAAAGTCATGCAAAAATCACGAGACATTAACCGCTCTGGTTCATGGATAAGATCAAAATAGTTAATGAAAAAAATAAATATATATGCAGGGCCGCCAGCCTCCCCCCCCACCCGCACGAAATTCTTATGGGAACCTTTCCCCCTCAAAATATTGGTTCCCATGAAATATAAATGCATAGATTCGATTTTTATTATTGTTATTAAGTTATTGTTGTGATTTTTGCAGTGCTCCCCCAAAGATTGTTTTAGCTTCCGCCGCCCCTGACATAAATATGAAAGTAACTGCTTTAACTTTTATTCATTTTCCATCTAATATTGTATCAAATTATTTAATAATATAAATGGTTTCTATGCAAAATATTGTGGTTTGATTTCTAGTTTTCGCTTTAAAAAGTGCAACTACATATGGCTGAAGCAATGCTAATGTAATATTATGTTATTGAATCATTTGCTCTTAAAATATAAAAACTGTTTGACTACAACTTCCAGAAATAGAGTTATTTGACATCAGTTCCCGTTATTGGTGGGATTTTAGAAAACTGTTGTCTAAGTTCATGTGCGAACAACCGAAGACTTAAACATTCGTCTAAAACATTCGCCTTACTTCCAATGTTAAATCATAATTTCTTGCGGTATATTTGAGGTTTCAGTTTCACTGTCACGTCACGTCACGCTAAGGCAAACAAAACTTCTTTCGTTTGATCAGAAAAAAGAGTTAACAATAAGGCTAAACATTCGTCATATAGTATATAATCACTTCTTACGGTATGTTACAGGYCCCGTCCACACGTATCCGGATATTTTTGAATCAGCACCTTTTTTCTTGCGGATTGGCCTTCTGTCCTGAACGGTCGAATCCGTATATTTTTGAATACGCCGACGTAACAGGGAACGTCTGCTTCAGGCACTGCCTAAAAAAGCCCTCCTCCTATGCATCGAGTAAAACTTACATATTTGAAAATATATTCTTATACGTAAACAATATATATTTTAGGGTATCTATTATTAACTCATATTCAGCGAGAACTGCCATATCTGTGAATAAGTCCCTTCTTTACATACTTCTAGCACTATTTTACTTTTAGAATCTGTACTGTCTAGACACATGCCCGATGACTTGTGACGCACTGACCGCGATGGTGTATGCTCCCAGATCTGGAAAATGAAAATGAATAGATGGGGGTTAAACACGTGATGTCACGTGATACGAAGTTTAAGAGCCGAAAGGACCCAACAAAAGCTGCTGTCAATCACAATGTGAGAAAACGAAGGGTGTGGCGATTGGTGAAAGTTCCAAGCACATGCTTTAGGATATGGCAACTCACGTGGTCGCCTTACCTGTTTGTCATCGGCATCTCTGCAGCCTTCAATTTTTACGACAGAACCAGGAGATGTACCAGGAATGGTTAGACAAAGATCTAAATGTCTAACCGTACTTTTTTTCGTCAAGGCCCATTCCTGAAAACGAGAAAAGTGATCAATGCTTCCAATCCATGTGATTTTAAAACCATTGTTCAATACAACTTTACAGACTGAGCTTTCCCTTATATAGGAAGTGTTAAGTGTAGAAATCACACGACCATAATATAGTGAGCCAGTATAGTGGTTACCATGGATACACACCTGGTTACCACCTTGTCCATGACAGTCAAACATGCCTACAGTCCCACCCGCCTGGCTGCCAAGAGTGTCTAGACATCGCTTTCCTTGCTTTAGTTCACCGAATGAAATGTCTTGATTATCAGGAATCCTGTGGACAGTTATTTTATTAGTATAGATATACATAGCACGGATAGAGACAAACACTAAATAGAGTATCAATACTAATTAATTCATGGCCCTCAATAAATCATTACAATAGTCAATGCACTTCATATTCCATTGGAAGGTGCCATTTCGACAATGTCATGGAAAGACTTTGATTGACGTCCACAATTTTTTTTTTCTTTTTTCTTTTTTTTTGTCGCGAAGGCAAACAAAGATACAATAGATCACTTACTGTAGCTCTGGGTATACGTTTTCTAGGTACCACTTGAATGGCTTACATTTCAACCTGGACCGCAACTCCTTTCGCGCCATCACACTAAAAAAACAGCACTGGTTAGAAAAATGAACGAATTTTAAAGTCTCGTATAGATCGAGAAAATTCATATTTGGAGGGAAATGTTAAGTGGGGCGCAAGTTCTTTTTTTTTTTTATCCTTACACGCCATCCCCCCTCCCCCCTATGTTGTCTCTATTATTTTTTTCTATTTTTTACATTGTAATTGTTGGATTTTTGTGGCTAATTTATTAAATTTGAAAAATTAAAAAGGGTTTAAAACTTATAAAACATAAAACTTGGTAATAATTACTTTCCGTAGGCTGCGCTTCGTGCCATCGGTCTTGCTGCATAGTAGAATCTCTTGTACTCATCCATCCACACTTCTGCTGTTCGTCTTGTGTTCCTACGATTAAAACAGTGTCATACGTCATAATTAAAATCAATGGGACATTATAGATGATAACTGGTTAGGATTCGTGCACTTTTCATAACAGGAAAACTGTTCAGTAACATATTACAAGCTACTGTACCTTGCGAGCAGAGGTTCTCTGACCCTCTGTGGGCTGGCTGGTCGGGGAGAAAAAATACTCTTTCCCCGACCAGCCACCACACGGAGGGTCAGAAAAAAAGCTCTGCTCGCAGGGTAATTACAAGCTTTCTTACTTCATGTATGTGTTAGCGTTGCCATCAGGGAACGAATAGGGATGTCTTTTCCTAAACACGTGACCCACACGTGAACAGGGAATGATTTCCATGCTTCCACCACACTGCCATGTGCGAAAGGAGATTTCTGGAATGCAAAATGGGAAGTGTAACACCAAATTTAAATTCATTAAATGGCTGGCTATTTTGTAAAGACATAACAGGCCGTTTTTAAATTCAATAATAAAACTATGCTATATTTCTTTATTACACCCATTTTCTCAAAGTTAGCCTTATTTCAGTGTCTAACTATTCACAAATACCAACAGTAAAGTAAAGAATGCACAACTTCAACAATACAAACACTTTGAAATTCCACGGACTTTCACTGGAACACATGAATATTCTACACGAAATTGAGGCTAAGCCTGAGCAACAGAGAACTCGAAACTGGAGTATAGTAAGAAGGAAGCTTTACTAGGATTATTTTGCTTTACTTTGAGAGCACAGTTCGTCTTAAAACCCGTTTACACTAGCGGTTTTTGCGGCGGTTTTTGCTGCGATTTTTGTGGCAATTTTCGGAAATATGAAATCTTTTGTCTCATCCTTCAAAAGAGACATTCGTCTAGGAAAATCTTGGTATCCTGAAAAAAACTTTACAAGTAAATTCTTTACCATTATTTATTATGGACAAAATCGCAAAAAATTCGCAGCAAAAATCGCTAGTGTAAACGGGGCTTTACTTACCAAAGTTTTCTCCACCCCAGATGTCCATCATGACGTCATACTTTCCAATCTTCTCAAACCAGGCCTTATCGACCATAAACAAACCTCCTGCTATCATTGGTGTCCTATATTGGTGAAGAGAGGTAATCACAACATTGTTATTATGCGGTAAGAGGATAGAGAAAATGCAATTCCTCAGGTTTGGAGTCAGGTTTTCTTGCTCTACCATTCATAACAACACAGAGACCAGAAACAAATAAGTGTTGTCTTACTTGATAGGTGCAATAGGAGTGTTCCGTCTCGCTTGCTTCTGTTCAGGAGTTAAGTTATCCCACTTGAAATGCAAGCTCCAGTCAAAACCTACAAAAAATATTAGGTAAATAGGATGCAAATTCAAGCAGGATTTGTGTCTTAAATTGTAATTGAAAATCATACAGATAGAGTATATCTACAACTGTAATTATTACACCTGAGCCTATAATACTAGTCAAATATTCCTTTGCAAGACATACAAGATGGGCAAATGGGTAAATATATAGAGCCTTTTTGACAATCACGTGAAAAGGCAGCCATATTGGTGTACCATTAGCAATGGAAACTTCCTGCACACGTTTTGCATAAAAATGGAATTCTCTGAGGAAAGAAAATGTATTGTTTTGGTACACTAACATGGTCGCAGTGACATCACATGAATGCTCTGTAATGTAAAACTAAACAACGTTGACATCCAATATCTGCTTATTGAATGAATTCCTCTGATCTTTAAAATAACAGTGATACGGCTCACCTCCTTTGATGTCTGCTGACGCACCGATGTAATTGAAGTCATCCATACTAATCACGTCTATAATAGGACTGACGACAGCTTTTCTATCCTGAATAACAAAAAGAATAATACATTAGTATGAAATTAACTCTGGTGTCTTGTATTTTAAAATATGCTATTGCAGTACTAATGGAGTCAAAAATGAGACCAAAAAAGGGCTGAGTGGAGGAGTTAAGATAGCATGTTGTCGATTTATTTTAATATTTTGGGTAGAATTTACTAGCCATCATCAGTGGGAATGAACAGTTATGCAAAAGCATGTCAATATATAGGTATAAATCTACATGCATATATAGGCTTGTTTTTCTGTACCTCTACTACTCTCTGCAAAAGAGGTTGAAGCCAGTCAGTGTTACATTCACAGTGACTGTCCAAGAAGGTTAAGATTTCACTGGATGCTATATCTGAACCTCTAACCCTGGATCGAATGAGCCCTGTAAGACAAACAAAAATATAATGTTAGAAAAGATGACCAACGTGGTCCAAACATTACTCGATAACAACAGATGTCATTCTGGAGGTTGTTACAAAATGAAGCCATGTGAGTATACAGACCTTATGTATACAGACTAGAGATATTTTTGGACTTCAAGATATCCTGAAGACCAACCACATAGAACATGCAAGTAACATGTATTTTAACATCACTTTCTGGCCCCTGAGATATGTACCTTTAGAACAATTGTCATCAATCAGTTGCAAATTATTATTCTTACCTTCTCGTCTGTCATTTCGCAAGATTTTAACCTTTGGTAATCCAACTAACTCAGCCCCATCACCATCTGTAGCAAACAAACCAGGATTAATGGGGCTAAAGGAAATTTAGGCAAAGTTAAAATCAAGGCACGCTGGCAAGCGCTCTTCGGTTGTTGTGGGGGCGCCTTCAGGGGCTTTATAGCACATGGCATGCTACATTTGTTGATCGTCGCGGATCAAAACATTGCGCTCAATTGCTGTTTTTTATCCTCCCTCCAATTCATCCATGCCGATGAGTTAATTACTATCAAAATCTGTACATATTTTTATTCATGTTTAATGCATTTTATTCATGTTTAAAGCATGTTAAATGTGCTCATAAGAAGTATTAGGGGACCCTGTTGGTGCCCAAACGTAGGCGGCCTATTATTACCAGCTATGAAACAAGAAAGAAAAAGTGGATAAAATCCACTATTAAAATGAAATTCATTTATAAGAAGAATAAAACTCTTATTCTTTGTTTCCCAGATTGTAGGGGGTTTATCCTACTTAATTATTTAACATCAAAGTTAGAATAATATTGACTATACTCACCATTGTCACTATAATCATCCACAAGAATTATTTCTTTCACTAAATTTGGTGGGCTTCTATTAAGAATACTGAAAATATGAAACAGGAAAAATGAGGGGATACGATAGACCTCAGATGATAAACAAGAGATTTTTGCCCATCAAACCCCACACTCAAGGGCTTCAGAATGGGTTTGAATGAGCAGAAACAAAAACTTTAATTCTAAAGATTTTTATGATTTTCATAAACCTAATAATTTTATTTTTGACTTAGATTAAATTTTTAACTTTACAAAATAATCTTATATTCGACTGCATAAACCTTGTAGAGAGGACGAAGTTGTATTTTGGTAAATATAAATATTATTTTGTGAATATTGAATGGGTAGAACTGTGGTGAAATAATGATAGATGTGTTGATCATCACAGTGAATGAGCGATCTAAGCGAACGCTGTGATGATCAACACATCTATCAAATATTATTTTGTTGTAATACCTTCTTACTGTTCTAAGCAAGGTTGATCTTGCTTCATTATGGAATGTTATAATGATACTAGTTGCTGGAAGGGATTTAGAATATACTTGACTTGAACATCTAAAGAAAGAAATATAAAAGAAATAAAATGATTCTGTGATCCAAGAGCTCTTGCACAATTAGTCTATAAATCTGGGTTGCAGCAATTGTTCTGTACTGCTAATATACTGTCCCTCATGGTCGACTGTGGTTGGTAGTTCACCAACTAACATATTAAGTAGGAATAAATGAGAGTGACATAGTTTTAATAAACTTGCCTCTCACTTCTAGGGTCTCAGGGTTCAATGCCTGGACTCAGCATTACATGTGAGCAGTATAGTTCATTAGGTCTAGTCCCATCATAAATCCTAACCAGATAAACCCTAATCCTGTGATTTAGCCATGTCCTGCCTTTGACCTGCTCAGAGGTTGTTTCAGGATTTGATCTTTGTGTTAGCCATGTCCTGACTTAGATCAGCCCAGAGGTTGTTTCAGGGTTTGATCTGTGAGTTAGTTGTGCCCTGACTTAGATCAGCCCAGAGGTTGTTTCAGGGTTTAATAAATTTGAAGGTTTGAACTCATTACTTCATTATGTAATCAGGGTATTACCTGACTAAATATATTAGATACTAACATAGTTCTATACTTACTGTGAATGACGTGTGTCAGGTATATTTCTATCTGATGGTACTTTGTCGCTTATAGCTTGGTTAAATTGGTTCTGTCCATATGCATCTTCTCCTTGCTTCAAGGCATCTCCTTCAAGGTATTTCTTCTCATCAAAGGGTGGTCGTTTTATACCTTCCTCATTATGGACATACTTTATTCCAAAACAAGAGTATAAAATATATGAATCACACAAAGAAAATATTGATCAAGTTGTGCATATTATAAGTTTGAGGTACAATTGATAATACGGTTGAAGCTTTCATAAGCGACCAGCTTGGGAACTCAAAAGAGTGATTGTCACTAGAGCTGGTCACTAATGAAAATGGCTCTTATATAATATAAGTAGTAAATAAATGCAAAGAGGGTTTCAAAATTCTAAATCTTTCTTTTGAATCAGAAACAAACTGGAAATCTGTTGTTGTTTCGAGCTTGAGTGAACTTACATGAAGAATTTATGCATCATGTTTTATTGACTCAGAAGAGAGGACTCAAAATAGGAGAAATTTTCACGAAATTTTTGCAATAAAAACAAAGCAAAGAATATATTTTTTTTTTAACATTAGCAATGATTATGGCTAGTAGCCAATCCATAGGCATTTCTATATTTCTTTGTTAGTAAAGTATGCTAAAATAATCTATTAATTCGATTTCTTTCCAGCATTTTGGTGATGAATGAAAAGCTGATGAACACTTGAGTCTCAAGTAAAGACGAAGAAGAAGTACAAGTAGAAGGCAAATATCAATAATTAATAATCTAACCCAACCCTATAGGCATTGAGCTAAATACAAGATCTATACTACTTCTTTACTCTTTCCTTTAAATCCCTTGACATTTTATTATAGTATGTAAAGAATAAAATCAAGAGATTTAAACCATCGAATATCATACTTTACTGAACAGTATTTCAGTATTACAAACAGTTCGGGTAATTATGCAGCCATATGTTTATACAAAAATTAGATGTTTTAATTTTACAAAGAAGTGTCACTGAAGCCATTATAAAATAAATCCCAAAGACTCTTCATGATTTAATCTCACAGGTTTAAATATACTTTATTATTTAAAGTGGAGTAAATTCAGTCTTGAGCAGTAAAAAATACACGTTAAAATAATACCGGGGAAGCACCAGGTTATTACATGACATATATTCTGGTCCAACTCCACCAATACAAACACCGATCTCATTTTTGTTTATCGGTGTCAAGAAGTTGGATCATAAATTACACCCCAAAGGAAGCTAGATATGTTTTTTTTAATGATATATATCTTAGGGATTTCGATATTTTGGTTAAGATAATTCAACAGCATGATTGTCAATTCTTACCTTGGGACGCGATCGCGACAATAATCCAAAATCTGTTGTAAAATAAATTATACCTAAAAACCACAATATTATCAAGGCTATCAGGAAGACTCTCCTTCTTCTAAATATCATGATATTAAAGTATATTTATGGAATTTTAAAGTTAAATCGACAGATTTTGTTGAGATTCAAAGGTTTGCTGCGCGACCGGGGAGGCCTGGGTTTAAATACCAGGCCTACTCGTTATAACCCTCAGGCTAGGTTCCTTAGTCATAACTACAGCTGTTCATTTCCTAGGCAACTGAAAATCTGAGAGTATGTGGACCGCGTGGCACTAATGAAATAGTAGAAGATAATATAGGTAAGTTGTAGTGCTTGGGAACGAGGTTATTCCGGGCGAAAGCCCTTGGAATTAAATTCGGAAAAATTAATTTCCGACCTCCGAAAATTTTTGGAGAGACTTCAAGGGATTCTTCTTTGCCAAATTTCAATTTGACGGATTTAAGATAGACAATAAGGTTACTCAAAAATAGAAAAGTTTCATTATTCTATTCTTTTATTTTAAAATCGAAAAAATAAAAATGAGCAAAAGCGTGAGTAGGTATAATGTTTTGGTCACCCATCCAAATGCTAACCCTCCTCAGACGAGCTTGACTATAAGTATCTTGAACGACAACGATTTATCCACTSGACCACGGTTCCAGGCGAATCAACATAACAATAGCCGTGAAAACAATGCACCCACTAGACTAGACTTTTTAACATTAGTTTTTCAACCGATTCCGTGCGTGGCAGAGATGCAAGGGATTAGCCAATATGGTCTGGGGGCCGGCTGGTCTCTCCCCTGATGCTTTGGCTAGAACATTTTCTTGCGTAATTCGTGCACCYAAGGGCAGAAGGATTTAATCGCCGTCAGGTCCGAAGTCCATACGCCGCCTCAGCTCTGCGGATGTCTCGGGGGTATGGCAAAGTGGAATCGATTTTTTGGAATTTCTTTTCGTTGCGGGTCTGAATCCCATCTTATGCACATAGGATTTTCTTTCTTTTTTTTTTCCTTTTTTTTTTTTTTTTTTTTTTTTTTTTTTTTTTTTTTTTTTTAATCCAATTTCTCACTATATTGAAATATTCAACAATAAGGCAATCGTTTTAGGAAAAAGAGAATATTATTCCTAGCTATGTATAACTTCGATCAGCATAACCAGATAGTTGAACTATGCTTTCCCGGTGACTTTCCTGGCTAGTTTGCGGACAAGAGCATTTACTGCACTTGGTTACTCAGTATATTCTTTTTAGCAAATTTTGGCAAACAGTGCTTTTACGAAGACATCCCGCAACTCAACCTGCGTCTAAAATGCAGCAACTCGATTCTTATTTGTAGAAACTAGATTCTTATTTGCAGCAACCCGCGTCTAAAATGCAACAAGTTGTCTTTTATTTGCAGCAACTAGGTTCTTATTTGCAGCAACTCGTCTAACTTGCTGCATGTCCCACTGTATTTAAGCTACCGTATAGCATTTGATGTCTGGAGGCGAAATACGGAAGAAGCTTTCTATGAAAAATATTGATACGTATGGTCCCTTGACATGAGTCCTTGTGGAAYAGTTTTTAGCAAGAAGTGAGAATATTTGGTTTCACTGGACTCGTTAATTGACAAACATGCGGCCTTAGTTTCGAGCGTAGTTCATTCCTAAGGAAGATTTCTATCATTGTGATTTCCCATACAATCTACTAGTCAAGTTCATGCTTTTATAGATAGTTCGTGTGTTGAATGTCGGAAAGGAAAGTAAGCATAGGGTTGTCGAGAGACGTCTTTAACAGAAATAGTTTCCCAAAAGAGAAAAAAGTTCAGTAGTCGATWTGTGTTTGGTGACTCTCGGAATGAATTGAGTTCATCGATGTCTGCACCCATGATAGAATCAAAGGGGCCTCAAATGTTCGTAATAACTTCATTACACGTACTCGGGCGTACCAAGCCACCATTGTGTGGTAGAAGAAGGCGAAGATGAACATCGGTGAGCAGGGTTGACCGGGTCAAAATAGGCACCAAAATTTACATCAAAATACTTAATCTTGCGGCCCTCTTCCGTGGTTTTTGTAATCGTCATCATCCCCTGACTTCCATCCCATTCACATCCCATACCAGCTCCAAAACCACTGTTGACGAGAACATGTAACGAAGTAACTTGACGAAGATGTGTAGTGCATTCGGTGCAGTTGATTCCTCGCACATTAATGTACTKCACATGCGCACAAATGGCTCCACTTGCACGCATAATGATGTCAAAGTTGGTCAGCAAACCTCGAATGTAGTCCCGCGTGACGAGGCCGTCAGTCTCGTACTTACATGTGGCTCTAAAGAGAGTCGAGTTACTTCTGATGTGCAGCATGACCAGGCGAGACAGGCGGTAGTCAGTCCAGTTAAAAGTACCCGCTTGGTTGACAGGAAAATCCCTGATGAAGGATTTGTATCGGTACTTTAACATATTAGCAAAGCCAAACGACTCTATCAGAGTCCAAACGAAACCTGGTTGTGAATGGAAATCACAGTAAACATTCATCTTGTCGCCAGAAGGTAAAGCGATGGGATAAAGACCAGAAACAAGTCCTTTGCCATGCGCGGCACAGGTCATGGGCTTCTCGCACATTCTGCCTGTGAAGATCCCTGGGATACAAAGGCACTGGAACTTGGGTCTGACATCCTTGCTGCATTGTTCGATACACGTTCCTCCATTAAGACAGGTGATATTCTGACAACATCCATTGCTGCAGTTTAATGACGACATTGAAGCTGGCGTCCCGGATGTAGCACAATTAATGGACCCCTATTTGCAGGAGAAAATATCATCAAACAAACACAAAAATATCAAAATAGAATCTTAATTAATTCTCAAGTTTTTGATTCAAGATCCAACATGGCGGAAAATTATCACGTGATGACCCAACCTTTGGTCCATTGACATGTCTGGTCCAATATTATTTACCTGTGTCGTCTTTGGCTTCGGTTCGTTGTATTTGTACCCTGGTGTCGGCACAAAGTCTGCCGGTGCTGTATGCCTGTCCTCGTCCAGCAACTCGCAGCGCGTACCAAACAGTTGATAGGACATACAACGACATTCATTCAAACATGTCGTTAAGCACTCTTTGATGTTTGTAACTGTGACATTCTCGTACGAATGTCCATGAAGAGCAACATCCATCTCGTAATCTACACCTGTTAAAAGAATGATATTTATAATAATATTTATTATTTATATTGCGCATATTCTATAAAAGAATCATATGCGCATTAAAGAATAAGTTACAAAGCTTTTTAATTAAACGTGGTATTGACTTCATTTTATATTATTATCATAATCATTTTTACCGCTTTTTAAATTCGCTTTATATTCTTTATCTTTTTCGTATGTTTACAAGTGTGTATGTTGTGGTTTTCTTGTTTGCTGAACTCGGAAAACAAAAAGTTATTACGGTCAGTCACGAAGACCTGCCGATCTCGTACGCAAACGCTCGGAATCCCACCCGACGTGGCCTTAAGAGTCAAGTTAGTGGGACTGCTATTGGGTGGTATTGTGGGGTGAAGGTTAAAATTAGTCGTCAATAGTCCATTGTTTTCACTTACCATTTTCACAGTGCACTCCATTGTAGCCGGGTTTACAGAGACACTCGTATTTGTTTTCTTCATAGATAGCTTTACATGTTGCTCCGTTACGACAAGGGAATGACGAACAAGGGCTCTGAACGAACAAACAAAACACAGAGGGAAAATGAAAATTAGCATGACTTAGCGTAAAAAGAAATTGTCAATTGAAAGAAAATTCAAAAATTTATTTTAATTCAAAAATTTCATCTTTCCGTTAAAACCTCTCAAAACCATTTTTCTTTCTTTCTTTTTTTTYCTTTTTTTTTGCGTCCGCGTATTTGCACTTTGAACTTCAAAGGTAGCCCCCGAGAAAACCCCATCGAGCCTTCTTATAAGCCTTTATTTTAGTTTTGCCGAACATGTACAAAACATTTCATTGTACATGTGTGCCCACGTACAGAGCACGTGCTGGCGTATGTTCTTAGTTACAGAACGTGCCATGGCGTATGTTCTTAGTTACAGAACGTGCCATGGCGTATGTTTTGATCTAGATTTTATTTACTGGGCTCTCTCTAATCCATGCAATGATTTTACGTCATCGTTGATACGACGTTTTATAGGTGTCCTGGCTTACCAAGCGTCAGAAAAACGACTAGAATAACCTAATACATGTTAAAAATTGAAAAAGATATCGATTTTACTAGAGATTTCAGTAAAGTACTTTGATATTAGTGAATTCAGCTTTGTCAAAACGTCCAAATGAAGTGAAAATTCCCCATTAAATGAATATTATGTTATTCCAACTTGTAGAGTTCAGATTCGACGTGAATCGTTCGAAGTAAGCGTTGTTGCCATTGATAGGGTGGCAGGTGTGGCGGAATTATAAACCCGACTATCTCAGGATCCGCGTATCAGATCTCCCAACTTTTTTTTTAATTATTTGATTAAGTTATAACTTTTCATTTTATAAAATAGTGTTTAGAAATTCCTCGTTTGATTACAATTTCTATATTGTTTAAAATATTTTTAGGTAAGTTTAAAAACTTATCTCAAAACTACTTCTTCTCGAGGTTGCTTTTTCTATGGATTCTTTTTTGGTTTCCTTTTTTATCGGTGCTAGAGTTACAGATTACCACTGAGATTCAGTCCACTTTTGAGAACTTTTTATGCATCAAAAACTGAAATTCTATGAAGGCGATTCTTATAGTTTTGATGCAAATAATGTTAAGCTGACCTTGCTGCATTATTGATGATTGTCAATAAAACTGCCAAGAATAGAGGAGCCGTTACCTACGTTTTATGTAGTCACAAGGAATAAGATTAAAAATCTTAAGAAAACATTAAATCTTTTCATGTTTTCTTTGTTTATTGAATCACTTTAGGAGCCAAACTCCAACTTTGTAAAATACTCGCCGACACGTTTCTTCAACTAGTTTGAGGGAGGGGCGTCTTGTTAGAAAAGTCTTTTTTCCGAAAAATTGAATAGTGAACGACTAAAACAAAGATTAAAAGCAGAGTTTATTAGTCACTATGAAAACAGATTAGCTATGCTATTATATATTATATATTATGTAGTTTTCATTTAAAGATTTCTCTAAGGTGGTCAGTTATGTATCAATAAGCAAAAAAAAAAAAAAAAAAAAAAAAA